AGATAAAGAACCCAAAGATCAAATTGATAAACCTCAAATTTATTTTAATTTTTTGTTTTGACAGCATACACATTGAGATTAATAACCCGACAACAAGTCGAAGTCACTTATATATTTTTTTGGGTTTGTCAACTTAAGTATCAAGGATGGAAAAAATCTCAATGATCAAGTCGATGAAATTCTACTTTATATTCATTTTTGTTCATCGGTTTAGACATCGGGATTAAAAAAATCTGACAACCAAATCAATCACTTCTATATTGATTTTTGTCTATCGACTTAGACATAGGGTTATAATAAACCCAACACCCAAACCCAATTATCTTGTTCATGTTTTTTGTCGCCTTGGGCGTTGATATAACGAGCCTGCCACCTAAGTCGACGAATTAAACTTTTTGTTAGTGGTTGTTCGTTGACCTTCGCGTCGATGTAATAAACCCGACGATCAGATAGACGAACCTAAGTTGTTTGTTTATGTCTGTTAATCGACTTTTTTGTCGAGATAATGAACACGACGCAAAAGTCGACGAGGCATTTTTAAATTTTTTTTCCTCGACGAATCTCATCAGACTATATACGTTAAAAAATAATTCATAAACTTCAGTATTGAGATAAAGAAGCCAATGAAAAAATTGGTTTGTGTTTTTAAAAACAGTATCATGTGTAATAAGTTCTAAAAATAAAAAATTATGCAATAGAATTAAGGTTCAATAATTATTTTAATCGTTTCCTTTTTTAAATCTAACTATTAATATTTACAAATAGGTTAATTATTCGATATGTCAATATTACAAAACTACTCCCTCTGTCTAAAATTTTTGTATAGTTTGAGATTTCGCGTTTAGTATAATTTAAATTAAAAATTAAAATCTAAACTACATATTAATTTTGGCGCGGAGGGAGTAAATGATATATCAGTAATTAAAAATATATTTTTGAATTTGAAAATATTTTTTATGAATTTTATTATTAATTAATTATTATTTTATTACTTAATTAAAAGAAAACTAAAAGTTAGGCTAGAAGACGAAAGCACCCCTTCCCTTTGAAGGTCAAAATTGATTTGGAATGTAAATAGTTGAAAAATCATATTTTTTGGACGAAATAAGATGAAAATGTGCATTGTGAATCGTATGGGACGAAAATAATTTTTTTGCCTAAATCTATGGACGTTTTGTGTGATTTAGTCTTTAGTTTTTAAAGCTTTCCCCCTTGATTTCAGCCATGGCGGATGCCGGATGGAGGTCCAAACTACGTTCAAGATCTCATCAACCAAGCAGACCTACGAGGCTACGACCTACGTGCTGTTAAAAGAACTCTTGCTACCATTGAAGTTGAAAAGGCTGACTCGCAGAAAACTAAAAAACTTTATGGCATAGCAAGCCCATTCCCAAGGTTCTCTGCCTAAATGATTCGAGCCCAATAACTTTATCCTCAATGATTAATACGTTCATGTGTTTAGGCTTGTTTTATTAAAAACTTGTGTGATGATGGTATTGATTTTCCTTGGAACGACCCCAATATATGAATCATCTTTTAGTTGTTTCTCACATTTGTTTTAGTTGGCTTTGTATAATCCAATACATTTGGTGTCCGAATTCATTGCTCTAAGCGTCTGACAAATAATATATTCTAATAAACGAAAAAAATTATCTTTCAGGACACAAGTGAACAATAAAATTAACAACTCGATTTCTCGAGCTACAAACTTTGTAAAATGTACATATCATAGAAATTCCAAAAGATTTTGATCGGGAATGTTGCTTTGTGAGTAGCCTAGACTCTGGACCATAAAGTGAGTGATTGGATTAATAAATGATTTGGACCTACGACTTGATACTGGTACGCTTACTAGGATATTAGTCACCAACCCAATATCCATATTTTGGACCCGAATTTCATATACTTTTTGCTCTATACCTCTTTATAAAAAGTTTGTAGTTGGAGAAATATATGTCCTAACCTCGTAGGTAGAAGTAATCGTAGTGGATGTTTACAAGATTTAGTGATCGGATCCATCGAATGTGAGGAGGGGGTTTAGTTCCAGATTTTCTTAATTGGAGACATTAATTGAAGCCTTGAAGGTATGAAACTTCAAGATTTTATCCACAACCACCGGATTGCCGCTGCCGCCACCGTCCCTTGTACCCCTCTCTAGAGTCTGGACCTCCCAAAATACGACATGGATCATTTGAACTTTAAAAGAAATTCCATTCTTTCAAGGCTTCAGTACGTAATTACGGACAAAAATCATCCAGTTAACTTTTTCCCCCCTTGAATTTTGTACTAAAACTGTTACCGTACTCAATTTATCAAGAGATGTCAATTATTTATTCATTGTCAAACACTTCTAAAAGAAAATTTTTCCGATTGAATGTTTTTAAACAAAAAATGGTGTTGCCAAGCGTTAGTTAAAAAAAAAAAAAAAAAGAATTTCCTTCTACCATTTGTCATTTGACCACATTCTTGTAGTTGAACTTGAGCATACGTATAACCGTATAATCGTACGTCTTTTCTAAAAATTTTTGGTTGTCCATATAGTTTTACTTAACCGGGGGAGACAGGATTATATATATGGTCTCAATAATCAAACCCAGAAAATAGTGACAAGTCAAAAGGGCAATTTTTTTTAAAAAAAACCAAAGCTTTCTCAAATTGCGAGTATTTGTTCAAATGTGGGGGACTGTATTGAACAATTTGCCAACCTGTGCAGAAAACGTTAAAAGGGCAAAGGCGTGCGCCGTTTGGGTCAACGCTCCCATGATTCGCATTATGTAGACGTCTCTCACAAACGGTCGTCGACGTCGTCACGCACACACTCACACAGTCGCACTCAACTACCCAAACGCCGTTATGTCCCCTAACCACCGGATACGATGGGAATTGCATGAACTATTCCACCATTAAGGCGTTTTATTTAGCCATCAAGCCGTCTGTTCAAAACCCGCACGCTTGTTCCACTTTTTAAGATTTACGCAATTATTACTGTTAGATTTTGGCGTGGTAAAAAACACCATCGAGTGAGGTAAGTAAAAAAAAAAAAAAAAGAGGCTTTAACTGATTTTGCATACAAAAGGTAAAAACATCCATTTCTTTTCTTTTTTGTTTTTTTTTTTAATAATTTTCTTTGTTATGCTTTTTTTTTTTTTGGGCCTGCTTTGATTGTTCTACAATTGATCTTTTGTGTCAGAACTCTGTAGTTTGCAGTGATTGTACGTCTGTAAAATTTTTTTTCTAGGATTTCGCACGTTTGATTCTTCTGTCTCCTTCTACTAGATTAAAAATATTAGTACTACTAAATAAGTTGAAAAATGTATGAAAGTTGCACTTTCTCTTACATTTAAGGTTACGTTTATGTAACATCTGCGTTTTCAATATAAGAAATGTTTGTTTTAATGTATTAGTCTTGATCTTTTCATTGTATGAAAAAAGAAATAATTAGAATATTTTTGTCCTGTACAGTTACCTTTAGGCTTAAATAAAGTTGATTTAAAGAAGATAAGATAGAATTATGCAGTCGTAATATGATTTGCTCTTTTGCTAAGGCTTTGCCGGGGAATCCTCTGTAAGTTGTCTGCTGTCGGTGGTTTTTCCGGATGGCCCCTCCTCCATGTCTTTATCCATTTTTCAACTTATTTTCTGCACAATTCTTTGACTTGATCTCAAAGTAAACATAAAAAAAAGTGAGAGCATAGTATTTTTATTTTTTTTAATCCAATATAACTATCATGACTAATTTATATTCGAGTTTCTATATTCATAAGTATCAACTAATTTCTTATACACGGATTGATTTCCAAAATTAGAGTCTTGTAAATATTGACGTGCACAAAGATCTTTCAAGAAGTCGTTAACGGGAGTAGATTACAAACAAATGAATGCAATGCTAGGTAACGGGTTTGTTTGTTTCGTTTTTTTTAGTATGTGTTTTTAAATATTTTTTGTATTGAGAATGTAAAAAGATATATTAAAAATATAAAAAGATATGTTGAAATGAGACATTTATTAATATATTAATCTGAAAACACCATCAAGAAAAAAGGAAACAAACAAACAGAAATATCTGTAATTGGCTTCTCAAATCTTGAAAGACTTCATAAAATCTGAACCATATAATTGTATTAGTATAATCCTAAATCTAGTGGCAAAATCAGAATTTGAGATTATTTTTTTTTGTGGAGAATATCATAAAGTTGTCAAAGCAGATAATACACTTTTGCAATCTACATTAAAGGATTTAATGAGAAGACCGCACAATAACAAAAATGACAATCAACAATACGAGATTAATCTTAATCAAGTATCCCTTTTACCTTATTAAAGCAGAAGACATGAAGCTTATGTGGCAACTACATATGCATCTGTTTTTGCTCCAATGCACCATATTTCAGATTTCAGAAGTCTTTTTGCCACGTGTAACTCTCTTTTAATTAGAAGCTATATAATTTTTTTTAAAAAAATACATGTTTTACTACAACTAAGGATCAGTTACATTTCAAACGAATGGATATATTAATTCAAATTCAAATGTCCAATCGTATAGTTTTGCAGGCTTAATATATACAAAAAATAAAAATACCTAAATCCAGCAATTAAGAATAATGCCTTATAAACTAATTATTTATTATTCCCTTATAACCTCATCTTTATAGGTATATTTTTTAAGCCCCAAACCATAGCATAAATAATATATACGCCAAATTAATTCCTCAAAAAATAGTAATTCAATTAGATTTTAATAAAATAGTAATTTAGAGGGGACGTCCGGGCAGCTGTCTGGGCCAAGCATCTAGTTTATATTTAAAATGTCAAACATAATGACATACAAATAGATACATAATATTTTATTCGTTTCAAAATTATTATTCAGTTTTAATTTTTATTTTTAATACATTCAATCAAAAGTGAAAATCCAAACTCTGACAACAAATTTGATTTTATCTTACTTACTTGTTATTTACATTGTAACTTTCCAACTGTTGACAATAATGGAGCATAAATAAGAACTATTGCTGACTGTAATTAGCGAGCTCTTTCTAATAGTATCCTTATTGTCAGAGTTGTTTTTTTTTTTTTGCTCTCTCTTCTAGTTAATCACCCACAATTCTAAGATTTGTAGAGTAACGATGGTTGGGTCACGCTAAGAACCGTTTTCTCTTTCTCATGCGAAATCTGTTCTTTTTCTAAGCGTGGGGGTTGGTTTTTGCTCTTCTTTTCTTTTCTGGGGAGGTGTTACTTTATGTTTATTTTCTTGCTTTTTAAAGAAAGAGTATAATAGTAACCTGAATAATTCTTCCTATGTTGGGAGGTACTGTTCATTTATTCCCCAAAATCAATTATTATGGTTGGGGAGTATAAAGATAGAATTAGGCATTAAAAAAAGGGTACTAGCTCCGAAGCAGAAAGGCCAAATAGCCTTCTTTTACTGCTATTGCATCAAAAGCACCATTTCTGCCAAAGAACCAAAGAACAATTAAAGGTGTTTCAGTTGTTCCCCCTAACCCCTTTCCTTCACAGTTCACACTACTTTTGCTGTTTGCATTCAAGATTCCTTGTTTACCTTCTCTTCTTTGGTTGAGTTTTTTGAAGAAAAAATGTCTGCAACGATAGAACAAGACTACATAGGTTTGTCAGCTGCTGAAAGGAGCCCTGATAAGATCTCAACGGCGTCGTCCACTTCCTCCAATCTTTGCCCTGAAGATGAAAAGAGCAGTGCTTTGAACCTAAAGGAGACTGAGCTGAGACTTGGTTTGCCTGGTTCTGAGTCTCCTGAGAGGAAAGATGTTGTTGGGCCGCCTTCTTATGGTTCTGGGGTGGCTTTATTGTTTGGGAAGACCTGTGTTTCTGGGGCTAAGAGGGGCTTTTCTGATGCCATTGATGGATCTGGGAAATGGAATTTGAGCATTAATGGTGGTGGTTCTGGGAAAGATGTCATTTTGTTTGCTCCCCTTGGAGGAGAAAGTGGGGGTGATGGTGTTAAGAATTTTAACACCCTTCAATCCTGCTTGCCTGGGACCTCATTGAAGGAGGTTTCCAGTGGCCCTGATCCTGTTAAGCCTATTGAGGATAAAAAAATTGTATCCTCTTCTGTCAAAGAGCATGGTATTGGTGCTCCAGCCTCAAAGTAAGTTCATTTTTACATTTGCTCCTATTTTTCTCTAATTGAATTTCTGTCTCTCTGTCTCTTGTGGTGTTCTTATCTGTTTCTGCTCTTATTTGTCACCAGAGTTGTGTCTGAATACGAAATTGGTTAAGAGTGGTAAATTTTAGGGGTTCTATTCTATTTTCTTTTCTCTTCTTAGCTATAAACAAATTTGTACCTGTTCAACTCTTGCTCAGCTGCATGTAAAAAAACTTGTGAACTATCGTTGATCCTTAATTTATGTGAAGGAGAAAACATGATTAGGATGTTTAGAGTTTGTTTTGTTCTTCCAGCATGGAGTTTCAATCATTCAACTTCATGAATTTTGGTTATCCCTTTATGCGCTGGCTAAGAGGTTTGGATTTGCTTGGTCTTCAGATTTTGGCGTATTTCATGCCATTAAGACTGTGACCATAAAGTTTGTTCCTTCCTTTGCATGTAGCTTATGTCTTTGTCACTTGTGACATATGGAATCGGTCTGATTATATGCTGTTCTCTTATAGGGCGCGAGTGGTAGGATGGCCACCAATTGGGTCTTTCCGCAAGAGTACCCTGGCTACAAATTTGTCAAAGAACAATGATGCTGAAACGAAATCAGGACCTAGCTGCCTCTTTGTTAAGGTCAGCATGGATGGTGCTCCTTACCTAAGAAAAGTTGATCTCAAAAGTTACTCCAACTATTCAGAACTATCCTCAGCTCTTGAGATGTTGTTCAGCTGCTTCACTATAGGTCAGTGTCCTCTTTTTTGTCATCCAGCTGATAGCCTTTGTACGGATCCAAGTCCACTTTTTTGGTCAAATGATCCAATATCTTGTTGGCTGTAAAGTAGATTTGATTATTAATACCTGTCTGTAACATCACTCATGAATGGGTATCCATGTTGAAATAGATACTGTCTACCCCTAGTATTGATTTCCATCAACCAGCTAGATGCATCTTTACTTGGGAGTTTGTGATTGGATGGCAATGTTTCTTTTTTCTGCAGCTTCAATCTCCATTCTGTAGTGATGCTTAAGCATCTGTTTTTCTCCTTTATAGCAGAATCTATGTCATGCCTTTATACGAGTTACTTCCACTTAATAATCGGCCTGTTTTTATTGATCATATCTGGGGGTTCAGGTCAGTGTTCTGCTGGTGAGCTCTCGGAGAAAGAGGGACTCAAAGAAAAGGGCGTGGTAGATGACTTCCGTGGCTCTGAACATGTGCTTACATATGAAGACAAGGACGGTGACTGGATGCTAGTTGGTGATGTTCCATGGGAGTAAGTTTCATATGCACTGGCTCTTAAATATCCGTCAGTACTTTGTGTTTTTTTTTTAGTGCAAAGTTGAATCGTTGGCCTAAACTGACGAAAGTATTGACATTTATGTCGGCTGTTGGCGGTTAGGCATGCCTTACAATTTGTAAGGATGCTGGATCGCAGTTAGGATTCACCTTATTGTTGAGTAGGAAGACTTCACCTTATTGTTGAGTAGGATTATCTGACCTGCATAATCACAGTTAGGATTCACCTTACTGTTGAGTAGGAAGAATTCAGCTTATTGTTAGTAGGATTATGTGACCTGCATGAATCAGTTTAATGCCGAACAAGATAATTTAATTTAATTTAAACATCAGTTTATGCAACTCCAGTTGCTACTGTGCTCGCATGTTTCCGTTCATTCTGGGACTCTTATCTGAAACGAAAAATTGACACGCAGCTTTCTATTTTGATTTTCTGATAGGATGTTCATTGGTTCATGCAAGAGACTAAGAATCATGAGAGGCTCAGAGGCAATTGGACTCGGTGAGATAAACAATGCAGTGTTTCCAATATCATTCAGGAGTTCTTAATTAGTTTATGTTGAAAATTATGGGAAAAAAACGAAAATGGCAAGACCATTTTTAAACGCATTCCTACCTTAGTGAATCTACTTTCACTTTAGTTGAATTGTTTTTCTCCCTATAATTTGGTCGGAAACTAAATCTGCCAATTTTCTTGCAGCTCCAAGGGCCATGCAGAAGGCGAAAAACCAGAGTTAATGCCACACAAATATTGCCGAAACGGGAAACCTTACTGAAGTTATCTTTGATATATTGAATAGGTTATTAAGTGTAGTATGATCTGATAGATTTTGGTATGGACACTAAGCACCACTGGAGATGCTCATATGTCTCTTCTTTCGGTCTTTTACTTTTCACTTCTCAGACAGAAGTGTTCCATGTAAATGAAGTTCTTGCTAATTTTGCATAAACAGTATGGGTTCTTCTCATTTTCCGTCCACAAAATTGATAACGTTTCTCGTTCAGATGAATCTTTGAACCCTGTTTTCATTTTCAGAAATGGAAGGCAATTACATTCCCCAGACTTGATTTTTAGTTTAAGAATCATTACAATCTGATACTCAAGCCCTAATAAGCAATCTAACTAATATAAACAACTATCCATTGCTTGTGATTACTGATATTTGAAGATGGATCATTTCAATTTAGGACCAATGAACTGTTGTCATCTTTCCCTTCCATTTCAAGACTCTAATTTTATTTATTGTCATCCTCTTCATTGTTTACAAATTTCTTCATTCGGAATCTTCGTCACATTTCGAATTTAAGGTAAAATATTGACGGAACCATATATATTTTGGGAGTTGAAAAAAATTGAGAGCTCGTTTTGGAAGAGCTTTTTAGTTCAACTTTAATTACCTCTAAATCCAGCAAAATTGTATTGAAACATATACTCTATGATTCTAATTATAAAAAATAATCTAAATATGAATTTAATGTTAATTTTTGCCTTATAATCAAGATTAAATGGATTACTTTTTTTTTTTTTATATATATACTGGGGAATCAAATGGAGTACCTATTAAACTTAATAACAAAATGCCACCAAAAAACAAAAATGTTCCATCCAAAAGGCCAAAGCCCAAAGTAATGGATGTTGTGAATCGAACGACGCCGTTCAATTTCCAACTTCGCACCAAAAAATCTTTTAAAAAAAAAAACATAATCTAAGATCTGATAAGTATCTGATTATAATTAGATAATGATGAAAGAGTTACAAATAAACTAAAAAATTCCATTAATTAATTAAATCATGAATTAATTCATCAGCTTCATGAAAGGCTCGAAATCTTGGAAGCAAGCTCTTCACTTGAGTGAGTGATAGTGCGAAAGTGGAATACTTAGAAAAAAAAAAAATGCTGGAACGGGCTTTGTCGCTCTCAACGCGCAGGTCACCGCCGGTGAGTGAGGATATGGACGACGTCGACGATAAAGAAGTCGGCGGCCGCGGCGACGAATCCAAGAACCACCGGATGCACTTTTCTATTGCTGCCATGAGATTCACTCATTACTTCACCCGAACTGGTTACTTGTGGCCCTTGATCATCCTAGGAATCCTTATCTTCGTCGTTTGCTCAATTTTCCTTCACACTCGCGATTTGGTTTGTCTCAAGGCCGCCACCTCCGATCACATCTCCCGATTGCGCTTCTTCGGATTTGACGATGTGGAGTCTGATTTTGGATCCCTCGGCGTTCCTTGGTGTAAGTTCTCTCTCTCTCTCTCTCTCTCACACACACACATTTGTATTTATCTCGATTCCATTTTTAATTAGGGTTTAGCACTAGAAGCTTTAGCTTGGATCTGGGCGAGAAATTTGCTAGAGGTTTTGCCAATGAATTTAGGGGATTTACTGTTCTGTATTAATATCTGTACTTAGTAATTCGATTATTCGTATCCCTACTTTTTGTTTTACGTAGTATTCGGTAACTTAATTAATAGTTGTTTGCTATCTACTTGCGAATGGTTTTGATGATGGACAGTATCACATTATTAGGGGAGATTTGTGAGATTTAGAATGCATGTTCCTTTTTTCACATTGTGATATGCTGATGATTTCGAGAAACAAGATCCTATGGATGATGTAATGTACTACATCCTTCCAGAATTGTTATACTTTTACACGCACTTTAGACAGGTGCAATCGAGCCAGGAGAATGATACTGTTTGTTATCCCTGAAAGTTTGCCCTCCTGTTTTTCACAAAGAATTATCTTGAAAAACCTTTCTGTCCTTGCCTCGACTTGTTAGGTGCTTTCCTAGTTTGGGTTACTATTTTTTATGATTTACATGAACTTTTCCTCTTTGGGGGTTCAATCATTGTCCAGTACTTCCTTCTCATTGAAAGTCGCTCCGTTGTGAGAATATATGGTTTTCATGAAAATAACAATCTTGAGTTGTATTTGTAAATGCTTAGCCATGTTTATCATGAATAATTGCTTTGGTAATTGAAGTTTAAAATGGAAGAACAATAATTATTTCCTGCCTTGCTCCCATTTAATTGTTTTCCTTGTCAAAAGGCAGATCGAAACTGGGAAAAACTGTTGAATGGACAACAAAGGATTTGCTCAGAGGTTTGGAGGAGTTTGTACCCATTTATGAAACACGGCCAATCAAGAATAACATGTACGGAATGGGATTTGACCACAGCTTTGGACTTTGGTTTATTGCTCGATGGCTGAAGCCAGAACTAATGATTGAGAGTGGAGCTTTCAAGGGGCACTCAACATGGGTTTTACGGCAAGCAATGCCTGATACACGAATTGTATCACTTTCACCTCGGCACCCAGAGAAGTACCTGAAGAAAGGCCCTGCTTATGTTGATGGGAATTGCACATACTTTGCTGGTAAAGACTTTGTGGATTTTGGGAGTATTGACTGGGGAAGTGTAATGAAGAAACACGGAATAAAAGATCTTACGAGGGTCCTTGTGTTCTTTGATGACCATCAAAATGAGTTGAAAAGGTAATCTTCTTTTTGGCTTCGTGCATGGAACTTTGTAATCCAGTTAGAAGTTAAATTTTGTTTCGGTTACAATCAACAGTTGACTATTCAGCAACTTGAAGTGTTGACCTGCTTTGATTTTATATGATTCAAGGTTGAAGCAAGCAATCAAAGCCGGCTTTAGGCATCTTGTCTTTGAGGATAACTATGACACTGGAACAGGGGATCATTATTCCTTCAGACAGATATGTGACCAATTTTATATAAGAGGTGGGCTTCCTTCTACTCTAGTTATCTTGAACCTATTGAAACACAGAACCTTGCTATTGCATCTGGATTTCTGTTGGCTGCTTGAGTTCTGGTCTTCGATCTTATTCATGTGTTGTTGAAGTATATTAATATTTCTCTTCCTCGTGAAGTTTCAGTGGTATCTGATCTCTGTTGAAGATGTTTATTTACAAGTACTTTGGTACTTCAGATCATCTCCGTTTGATGCATACTAAAGTTGGTCGTGCTATTCTCGTTTTTGGTTATTGTCTGAGTTACTATTTTCTAGCCGAAGAAGCAATGTCCTAATTCGCAATTTTGCTTCATATTTTGTGATGGCTTTGCCTTTCCATATTAAAAATATTGGAGTTGGAATTAATGTTAGTTCAAGGTGGTGATTGTAATGAGTTGTGGTTTAGCTTCTTTGTTACGGAAAACATGTTATCATGCGCAATTAATGTATGTCAAACTCTGGTCTTGACTCGAAAGTGGAGTTTAGAATGTTTTAGCTGGAATCTGTTTCTTTAACTTGATATTGGTCGTTCCAGGTGGCGGCCATAGCTGCTTCAGGGATAGTGATGAAGCTAGGATGAGGACCAGAAGAAAGAAGATCTGGGAGAAGGCTGTGGATATAGATGAACTATGTGGTCCAGGAGAAGCATGGTGGGGAGTAAGAGGGCAGATGCGTGATGATTTTAATCACAGTAACAAGGCAATAACACACTCTCAGCATTTTCAGAACAGTCGGTATGTAGAATCAGTGCTGGACATCTACTGGGAGTTACCTCCAGTGGCCGGTCCTTCACTTACTCACCAAACAAGATATGATCCTGCTCGGGTTACCAGTCCTATAGTTGAAGATGGAAGATATGGTTTATTCCAAAGGCTTGGGTTATCAAGACTTGAAACTTCTGTATTTAATGGATATACTCAGATGGTGTATCTTCAGGTTTCTGAGCAGGATTCCTAATCCCAACTACATAATTCAATCTTTGTACTTATTTATATCATTTGATGATACTTGCTCGCTGGCATACTTGTCTTAATTTATCTTTTAAGCTTGTAGGCACGTAATTTGTACTAATATGTGATTCTCATTTTAGTTCTTTAGTCAATATGGACATTTACGTTTATGGTTTGATTATTTTTTTAAAGATTTTCTTGTAGCGGAATTCATTTTGTTATTTTCTGGAACTGAATTCCTTCTTTTAGCCTTACTTTTAGATTTATATAAATTCATTTCAAATCAGCCTCCTGTAAATGTGGATGGAAGTTGGAACTTGGGGTGTGTGAGGCCCATTTTTTCTCTACACAAATTGAAGGGAGCTGATGGCGTTGACTTGTGAGACTGTTGTAGTGACAATTGCCAAAAACTATGGGTTTTTTTTTTTTCTTTTCTTTTCTTTTGGGGTGTAATCAGCATGGCCAGAGGGCGATTGCCTTAGCTAGTACATACGTTTGAGCATTTATGATCATGATCATGCTCTAGAAGCAGTGACATAAACTAGGCGCTATATAAAAAAATATAACCCTTTATTTACGTGCGTACACACTTCACAGTTTGTCAACTAAAGGTTGTGAATGTCTCTTAGCTCCGGGTCAAGGCGATATTTTGTTTTCCCCACAAGGCTCTGAACTTGTTCAATTGCTACTTGTGAGTCGGATTCCACCATAAGTTTCGGAGATTTTTTGCAACCTTAATTGATAGGTATAGCTGTAAATTCGACATCCTCACATCAACCCCAAAGAGTACAATATTTAGTTGCATATCTTGAGGTCATCTACATGTAGTATACTAACACTGCAATGGAACGTCTCTCCAAAGGAGAGGTCAGGTACCGTTCGCAATCGACATGGGGAACTAGTCATTATAATTAGTTGTTTGAATATCTCAAAATAATTATCATATTTTTATTTTAACTTTTATTGTGACGAAGTACCGGTTATAGTCACAAATTCCAAACATTTATATTAAAAAAAAGTTCAAATTTTATAATCACTTTAGAAAATGAAGTACCTCATTATGATTATAGTTCTTAGCATCATGTTTGCACGGTGAAACGAGATGAAAGGAACTATTTGACTATGAAAAGGATGCACCAGTTGGATTTTTGAAACTATCATCAGACTAAAATAATCCTCATCCCCAGAATAAAATTGCAAGCTACTTTTCGCCCAAAAAAAAGGAAAAAAAAATTGTAATGAAGAGAAAAATCAAGCTAATAAACAATTCTTCTAACTATATGTGAAGATCATCCAAAGGTGCATCGTCGCATATTAAGTGGGCCTAAAGTTGGTACTTCGATAATTCGATTCTTCATGACTTTCCCATACAAATACACTATAGTTTTATTACAGATAGCTTCGATGGTCTGGAAACTTTGGCTCCATTTGGAGAAGAGTTTTGAAAAACTTTTCAAATAAGTCTTTTTGGATAAAATTTAAAAAAGACTTTTTTTTAAAAAAAATTCATTTGGACAAAAATTTAACAAAAAGCTTTTTGTAGTTGAGAAAATGTGAAAAAGTTATTTGGATTAGATCTTTTCTAAAAATACTTTTTTTCAGAAAATAATTATTGCACTTTTCTTTTTTAAAAAAAGAAAAAATTCTTACACAAATTTTGATTTTCATTTTTTCCACTTTTCTTTCTGAATTATTTTTTTATTATTCACAACAGTCTTCTTTCAAATTTTTATATTATCAAAGGGGAGAAAAACATTACTGATTACACAAATTGTATTGTTCTTCTGCATATTGGTACAAATTCATATTGTGAGCCTTGGTACAAGCAAATCTAGAGCAAATTAAATGAATCAGAACATCATCATACTGAGTTCTGAGTTTCAAGTAAGCACATCTTAAATGTCCACAGTACAACAGAAACAAAATTTATTTATTTATTTTTGGTCGAAAACAAACATACTTCTATTAACATAAGACTAGGTGCCTTGAAACACTAGCGGATTATATGAATAGCAGAACACAAGCTTTTTATGTATATCTGTCCAATACAAGATTACAACTACACTACGCAACAACTGGGTTCCCCCACTTAGCCTATAACTAGGGATCACTGGATTAGCAGCGTTGATTATGTGTTAGGAAAAAAAAGCAAATCTCATGATTCCACCAGGTTTGATGATTCCCAGTATCTGTTCAAGCAGCCAAAAGAAATCAAGTAGGTTGGGTTCATACCTCAGAAATGAAGGTTTAGTTTAAATGGATAAAGTAGTTTGTCAATTCCCTCGACTTTGGTAGACAGACCATTGCATAGGGCTTCAAGCTCGGACAAACCACGTGAACAAGAACATCACTGTGACTTGAGAGCTCTGATGTTAGCGATCTCAACCAATATTTGCAACTAAACTAGTTCTCAATTAACTACAGTTCCTCATGAAACGTCTTGAAGTGCTAGGTTTAGCTCGTGCACCGACTTGGCAACTGAACCGCCTCTTCTGGAAGGAGAGGCAACACAGGAAATCAGCTACCAGAATTCACAAGGCTGTTACTGAATTGCTGAGTAACTGAGACGAATGCATACCTGCATAGGCTAGGCAAGCTACGTTTTACCTTCTCAAGCTCGATAAAGCAAATGTTGCAGCGCTCCAACCTGTTTCACCAAATAAGTAATAAAAACCTTACAATCTATTACAATCGCTAAAGTAACACATTTGGGTTGTAGATGTTTAAGCATTCAAACAGACCTTTGCTCTGCCACAATATCCACTCCTACACATTTGGGAGTGCATTGATCCAAGAAACTGATCGTGATTTTTCATCAAGGCATCAATAACATCCTCCTCACTAGTACATATGGCTTCCTCCTTTTCAGCATATACAGGCTGACTCCTCTAAAGCACAATTTTCAAAATGAACCAAGAGAAGACAACGAGTAAGGGTATTATGATAGAGAGCAGAATGCACTTGTACAACATAGAAACCAGAAGGATCAATAGAAAAAACAAATTTGAGAAGAGTAAAATCAGATATTCTAATACCACTTTGCAGACAACGACGTAGTTGATCAGGCAGAGTCCTCCAAAATGGTAGGAATGAAATTTTCAGAATCGAAGTTATATGAAATCATGGAATTGATTTAAGATGTCAAAATGTAGCAAAACAAAGAACGTAATAGGAATTCACAGGCCTATTACAATTACCTCGCCTGGTAACATTTAAAACATCTGTAAACCAATGGTTGATCAAGTGACGAGTTTTAGCACCATGAAGTGTATTCATTCTTGTATCACAATTAAAGGACAGTAAAGCAAAAGTGAAAGTACTATGCTTGGTGGTTGTGTCTTTGGAACATGAATTGTCACAGAAATATCACTGGAAGCAAGACCATCATTAAAGGAAATTCTATCTTTGCTCTCCCAATTGGCAACGAGCGAACGCTTTCTTCCTATATATTTTTTTTCAAAAAGTTAACAAGTCTCCAGCAAGTCTTGCAACAGAACTACCCAAAACTGATACGCACCAGCTCTTTTACCATCAGTTCAGTCACACTTTATTCTCTGTTGATATTTGATACACGAATTTCATCTGCCACAACAAGCAAATACTGGCTTTCAGTCTTTCATAGTGCAGGCCAGAAACAAATTACAGAGCAAAATTAATTAAAACAAAATTTATATACCTCCTCTTTTACCATCAACCACAATTGATTCTCTACTAATACTATTTGGGATACGAGTTTCATCTGCCATAAGTAAGAAAAAGTTGACATCACTGACAAATGCTAATGTCAACGTTGATGCATAGCTTTCAAGTCAATCTCTAGCAGCTAGTAAGTCCTAGTTGTGTCAAACTAATTTTTGTCATTCTTTTCCCTTTAATGCGAGAAACAATCAGCAAGATATCTTACCTACAGTAGAAACTAATTTGAGAATGAACTAAGAAAGAAAGAAGAGGAGAAAGTAAGGTTGAGAGGAACTGACCAGAATGGCACATCAAAATCATCAAACCCATGGAAGAAAAACATGAAAAATCATCAAACCCAATTTGAATGTGCCTCAATGCCTAAAACCCATGAAAAATTCAGAATAATCCATGGTAAAAAAACAAGAATTCGATTCAAAACCTTGGTATCAAAAGAATAATTTGATGAACCCATGCGAAGGAACCCTAATCTAATCAAGAGGCAAAAGGGAAAAGAGGGAGAGGAATGAGAAACTTTACCGCATGGGGATAAAACTCCTCACCGCCGTTTGCATTAAAATCGCCGGAAAGTCACCGAAGAGCGATGATTGATTGATGAAGGAGAAGATTGGAGGAGAGGCCATCAAATGTCGAACTCAACAAAATAACGTGAAGAGTAGCCTAAATGGGGAAGAATCCGATTTGCGTTATGACCCAGTTTCAACCCGTCTAGATCCGCGAACGGTTAATGAAAAAGTCTGTTCTGAAATTTTGAAAAATACCTCCCATTTATTTTCTAAAAAGTCTATTCCAAACCTACTTTTTTAAAAAAAAATAATTTCAGAAAAGACTTTAAATTTGTTAACCAAATGACTTTTTGACTCTAAACAGACATTTTAGAACTCTTGTCCAAATAGAGCCTTCTTTTCCCCCAAAACGCAGAAGAGTGATGAGTAAATAAGTCCGCATAATTTTTAAATGAGATATTGGAATTTGCAAACTATACGTAAAAAAAGAATTAAAGAAGATGGAAGTTTCAGATTTTTCAGGGGAAGGATTCGGAGGTTTTGAAATCTCAGGCAAGGACTCCCCGGCAGCTATAAATACTTTTCATTTTCCACAATGACTCACCAATCACCATCGCCTCACTCTGAGGCTTTTCTTTGCATTTTTTCATTAGTTTCATAAGTTTGAATTTGAGTTATTATTTTAAAAGCTCCGCCGGTGGCATTTCCGTTTCCGCGTTGTTGAACAGCCTGAGTCCACAGTATTGAAGCAACGAGCCCAGATTTTTTGGGCCTTTGAAATGAAGATCACAATAGATACATATTGGGCAAACTATTAACCAGATGTAATTTAATTTATTTTTTAAAAAATAGTAAAACAAATTAATCATACATTTTCTTTTGAAATAAATTAATCATACATTTGTGAAACAGGGTTGAGAATTTCTACAGGACCAATCATATTTTTTTTTATTTGAGCTAATATTTTATTTTTATGTGGAATATTAGTTTCATTTACAATCATGTGTTACAACTATATAAAGATTAATTTTTACGGTAGAGTTTGAAAATTAATAAATATTTTTTTAAAACTCATATAATATACTTTTATGGTCATTAAAAGTAGTTGAGAGAAATGGAACAAAATAGAGAAAAATGAAATAAAAAAGTCAAAAAGGGACTATTTTGTTATTTTTATATATTTTAGGGGTTATTTTTAAAATTTTTAAAAACTAATGGGGTGTTTTTGTATTTAAATTTATTATTTTATTAAAAAACTAACAGAGATTCGTTAATTTAGACGGAAAATGGGTCGGTTGGACGAAATTGGCAAAAATATTAAACATTAGGGTAAAATTAGCTAACCAAAAATCTATTGGGTATGATTGATGACTAGGGCAAAGCTTTGAGTAGAAACGACATTTTTTCCCCTTCTTCGTAGATTATTACAAATTTTGTTGCTATTAACTCTGGGTTTCAGTTGTGCGGCACAACTCATATTTATCTCCTGGGAGAATGATCGGCTTTTCCCAACTTTTGGCAACCAATTACGATTTTTCCCAATGTTTAACAGTTTGTCGATTTCTCCCCAAATGATTTTTAATGATCTTTATCTCTTCCATTTTCCCCAAAAAAAAATTCGGGTTAATATCAAATACACCCTCAAAGCTAGGCTGAGTAGCTAAAACACCCTCACCTTTTGAAAAAATATCAAAGACACCCCTGACCAGGGAGTCAACTATCAAAATGGTCTACTAATGCTGAAAAAATGATGCGTACATATGACTTCTATGCAAAAATAACTAAGAATACATTTCTGTCGGAAAAAATAGCGTTTATACCCAAAATTTTAGCCTCGTTGTCAATCATACCTAATTGATTTCGGTCATCCAATTTTATCCTTACTGTTGAAATTTTCGCCAATTCCATCCAATTGACTCAATTTTTGCTAAAGTTAACGTATTTTCGTTAGATTTTAACAAAAAAACACCCTAATAGTTAAAAATAACCAAAACAAAACAAAATAATCCAATTTTACTTTTTATTCATTTTTTCTATTTCATTTTATTTCTCTTTAATACTTTTCATAACCATCAAAATATATTATATAATCTTAAAAAAATAATTATTTATTTTGAAATTGTATTTTTCATCTGTAACACATGTGATTTGAATCTAGGGGTAATTTTTTATTTTTTAAATTTATATTGTTAATATTTTCTAAATTTATTTTTTTATTTGTTCTTTTTACGATTCTTTTTCTTATATTTCGTGACTTGTATATATTGATACAAGTACAATTATTAAAATTTTAATAGTTAATTCACCTTTTTATTTGATAGATTATAAAAGAATTAAAATAAGAAATAATGAGAATAAACATGAAAATTAATAGTTTATCATTCTAAACAAAAGGGAAAAAAAAGCCCTATAAAAAATCTACAAAAACAAGTCTTTCCTCCTTGACTTCTTGTAATTCATAGGTAAGTTAAATTAGTCCACAATGATGAATTTCTGTAAATTCAGTTAACACTATTTTTATTCATTTTTAGTAATTATTAGTGTTACTTTGCCGATTGCTAAAATATATAAGCAATCGTTGAATTTCATGATAAATATAAGTACGTGCATTCTTTAATATGTGTATTTTTCATGATAAAGATAAATACGTGCATTCTTTTTGGAAAATTCACGTATTAAAAAATACACGTTAAAATACACATATTTATCTTTATCATAAAATTGAATGATTTTTTATAAAGTTTAGTAATCGGTAAAGTAACAATAATAATTACAAAAAAAAAAAAAAAACAGTGTTAACCAAATTTACAGAAATTCATCATTGTTGACTAATTTACTTACTTATAAATGAAGTCAAGGAGGAAAGACTTGTTTTGTAGATTTTTTTAAGGGTTTTTTTTTTTTTTCCTTTTTGTTTAGAATGATAAACTATTAATTTTTATGTTTATTTTCAACTCAATTTTTTCTTTCTCATTATTTTTCTTTTCATAACGCTGGGAACCCCACCAGAGATGGGTAAACTCACGCCCACTACAATAGCCTGCAAACCACAGTGGGAGATAAACCACCCTAGGCATGCCTGGGGTGACAAGGCTCGGGTGCGAAATCGGGGGTTTATTAGTGGGTTAGCCATAGCAAACCCCTAGAGGTACCAATAGGCAAAGTAAGAGCCAACCCCTCATTTTTTGTTGGAGTGGGGGATTGAACTCATGACCTCCTCTTGGAGTAAGGGTGATGTCACCACTGAATCAACTCCTCATTCGCTTCTCATTATTTTTCATTTTAATTCTTTTATAATCCATCAAATAAAAAAGGTACATTAACTATTAAAATTTTAAGAATTATACTAGTATCAATATATACAAGTCAGAAAAAATAAGAAAAAGAATCGTAAAAAATAACAAATTAAAAAATAAATTTAGAAATTTGAAAAAAAAATATAAAATGACAAAATTATCCTGGACCCAAATCACGTGTGTTATATATGAAAATTAGAGTTTGAAAATAAATAATTATTTTTTAAAGATTATATAGTATATTTTGATTTATGAAAAGTAGTAACGAGAAATAAAATGAAAAAGAAAAAAATGAATAAAACAGTAAAAATGGATTATTTTGTTATTTTTTTACTTTTTTGCGGTTTTTTTTATAAATTTTTGAATATCAGGGTTTTTTTTGTTAAAATCTAATTTAAATTCGTTAAATTTAACAGAAATTTAGCCAATTGGATGGAATTGGCAAAAATTTCAAACAGTAATGACAAAATTGGTTAACCGAATATTAATGGGGTATGATTGACAACGAGGCTAAAGCTTTGAGTATAAACCTCATTTTCTTCCATTTCTGCCCCTTATTAGAAAAACCTAATTGACTTCTCAATTCTCTGGCCTTGTTCATCATTGTGTTTACGTCCCATTTTCTTATGTTTGATATGGCATGATCTTTTCAAAAGTGGCAAGAGATAAGGAGATAGTGGCATGGTGGTAGGGAGGAAGGGTTTAATTTTAGGATTTGCTTGAAAAAGTATCTAGAGCAAGCAGATAGTCAACTTAACTATCTATATAGAGAAAGATCTATTTCAATTTGGAAACACCAACTATCTGCCTTGTTGGAGATCCAAACGTAGGAAATTTATCGTTGGTTCGCATACTTTCAACCGGGAAGCCTGAAATTTGCAACTACCCTTTCACCACTAGAGGAATTTTAATGGGTCATATTAATTTTAGTTACCAGAATTTCCAGGTTACAGACACACCAGGTCTGCTGTGCATAAGCGATGAAGAAAGGAATAATTTGGAAAAACTGACGCTTGCTGTCCTCACTCATTTGCCAACTGCTGCACTCTATGTTCATGACCTTACTAGAGAATGCGGAACCTCAGTATCTGATCAGTTTGTGATCTACAAGAAAATTAAGGAAAGGTTCAGTGACCATCTTTGGATCGATGTTGTTTCTAAATATGACATATTCCAAGAAAAAACTCCCGTAATTTTTGCCACTGAAGATCAGAGCAAGGATGACGATTAACTTGGCAAGTACAGAAAAGAGGGACCCGATGGAGCCATTCGAGTCTTAGTGAAGAGTAGTGTTGGGGTTGATGAGTTGAAGACTAGAGTGCATGAAATGCTTGCCTCCAAGGTCAAGACGATTCTAAGTCAAAACAGCAGCGACCAAGAACAATTGGAGGAAACACGTAAGTGGCTTTAAAGAACAAGAACACCTAGACCAATGTGTGTCATTCTATGGTGATAGCTGAGCAAACCTTGATGCCAGTGGATAGGATGTGAAATTGAACCGCTTTATAGGTAACAGTTAATTTGCTTCTTGATGTCTTTGTTGATAGTGGCACTGTAAACTTAGACTGTGCCCTTGGCAGTTGTTGATGAATCCACAACTTAAGACTTGCAAATTCTACAGCATTTGATAGATAACTTGTCAACGGGACAGTCAAATAGTCAATTATATATGTCAACGGGACAGTCTTGCCCAAATCTTTTAAAGGGTACACACCTTCACATTTTGTCATAGCGGATATAGTTTTCAAGACACTGCGTAACATTAAGAAGAAAGTTGAACCAACGATGAAACTGACTAATAGATGAATTAGAAATGAACCAGCGCAATTCTTAACTAAATATCCATACACATGTATTGGTACTATCTCAACATTTTCGGATAATGATTGCTACAAATTAAGCATGTGTTTATAATCAGATATTTATTGTATATTCATGTAATTCTGTTCCTTAAGCAAAGACACTACAAAATTATGGTAAAAACCAGTAGTAATTTAACATTATTGGTGGAAGCATTAAATCAACCAAATAAATGTAGCATGTGGTACCAGTACAGTACCATAACACCAATGTTGTAACTCCATGCTCCATGCGCGCACCTTCTCACTATTGCTTCTTTTATCTATCTACTCCAAATTAAAACAATATTTTTTTTCTTAAAAAAAAAAGTTAGAAAGAAAGAAGAAACGCAAGATATAGATCGATAAAGGAGAGGGGATGGAAATGACTTCGAAATTCGACCCTCCTGATAGTTCTATCACAACATCTCTAGCTGCAATAAGAACTCATCCTCAAAACGACCATAGCCAATTCTCAAGAAGCATTTCCCACAAAGAACCCTCTTTCTCAGAAGCTTCATCATGCACTCCGCCGCGTTTAAGCTCAACTTCCCTCACCAATCCACGCCTTTACGTTTCCCAGCCTTCCACTCCACGGCTTCATTCCTTCACATCCCCTTCAAAGCAAGATGATCTTCACACGATTTATCGGTGCATTTCGTCGGTGCTCAAGAAGGACGGCGCGATTTTGTCCGTCGCGGCATCTAACGGTCTGGTTTACACGGGTTCACAAAGCAACGTGATTCGGATATGGAAGTTGCCGGAGTTCACGGAATGCGGTCAACTTAAGTCAAAGGCGTGCATGGTGGTGGCTCTAGAAGTGTCGAATGATAAAGTGTATGCCGCTTATGCTGATTGTAAGATTCGGGTTTGGCATCGGACTTGGGAAGGTACGATAAAGCATGTCCGGCTGGCGACGATTCCGAGGACCGGAGGTTACGTCCGGAGCTACATCACCGGCAAAGATAAGTTGGTAAGTTTCTTAATCAGTTCATATAATGCATTGTTGGACCTAATTTATCTGTACGTAGCTAGCATGCATTTATGGTACTCTCGTTCTTTGATGATTTTTTTTTTTCTATTTTTTTTTCTCTTGGGTGCTTTAATGAAGACATGATAAATATTAGTTGGACGAATTCACAGCATTGTACGTACGTATCTTTCAACCAATTGCACGTAGGATGTAATAGTCGTGACTAATATGGCTCTGTTGAATAGCAAATGATGACTTCCTTCACTAGATGGACCGCATTCCATCCCAGGAGTAAATTCAAACACCCCACTCCACAAAAAAAAAAAAAAAAAAGAATAAAAAATTACATACTAAAAACTCCCTCACTAAGTCACTACGGTTAGTGCATATTTGAGTTAGATAGGTTCTTTAGGTGTTAATGTACCTACAAGTATTTGAATGGTCTTTGAGACAACTCATTTTTATTTGTACCGAAATCAACTTACTACATATCAACTAGAATAACCTAATAAGCTGCTTTCCTTCCTTACGGCAATATTATGGGGAGTAAGACATGATATGTAAAATAATGGAGCACTGATTGGACAGTAGAGAATATTAATGCGTGGTAGCTGTAATATACGATGCCATAGCTTGCGCCTTTATTAATCAGATTCCTTTTTGAGCTCTTATATTCACTCCCGGACAAGTTGTGACCATGCATTACAAAACAGTCATAATTTGTTTACTTATTACTCTCATGACTTCCATTATCACTGTAGATACTCTTTATCAAATATTTCCTCCCTTCCAAAAAAAAATTATTTTGTTAAAACAAAATAGTATAAAAGAGTGGACTGAATTTTTGAAACAAAATGAGTAATATTTTATCTCGTTCAGTCAATGTAGTGCTTAAATTTCCAGTTTATACAGAAATCATATCAAATGTCACTTACAATTACTCCAGGCTAGTTTGCTCGCCGAACAATGTGTCGAAAGACAGAGAGTGGCAAAAGTTCTGAGGCGGATTTCTCTTACAAGCCTTTTTGGTCTGGTCAGCACGTGCATAAAGTTGTGAATACATTACAAATGAAATCACAGTTTAGGCATCCAATTCATACATTAGCTAGCAAGATTAATTTAGAGGGGTCAATGACGTACTATTTTTGTCACTTAGATGAACAAATGAACCATTTAAGGTCGTATGAAATTTGTTCTAGTATTACCAAAGGCATCTTATTGTTAATTTAATTATGTTTTAATTATTTGTTTACGCACAATTTTTAGTACTTTTAAAGATTAAATAATTATTAGAAACCAAAATGTTTACAGATGAAACACGCGGGGCCAATAACTTCACTAGCAATCAACGTATCAGATGACATTCTTTACTCAGCATCCGTCGATAAAACGGTCAAAGTGTGGAGAATTTCTAACCTAAAATGCATCGAAACAATTCACGCCCACCAGGAACCAATCAACGCCATAGTCGTCGCCGACGACGGCGTCCTCTTCACGGCTTCCGACGACGCCTCCATCAAGGTGTGGCGGCGCAACTTCTGCAGTGGCGACCGGCCCCATTCCCTGACCGTGACTCTCCCGGCCAAATACTCACCGGTCAAGGCGTTAACCCTCGCATCCGACGGAGGCGTCCTCTACGGCGGATGCTCCGACGGCTACGTTCATTACTGGCTTAAGGGTTGGTTTTCCGGGCAGCTGCAATATGGCGGCGCGCTTCAAGGCCACACGCACACGGTGATGTGCTTGGCCAACGTGGGAAACTACGTGGTGAGCGGGTCGGCCGATTCAAGCTGTCGAGTTTGGGTCCGGGACCCGCAAGATGGTCAGCACCGATGTTTGGCTGCGCTTCAAGGCCACAGGGGGCCGATCAGATGCATCGCGGCGTTTCTTGGTCGGAATTCGTCGGCCAATCATGAGGAGGTGGAAGATGGTTGTACAATTTGTACGGGGAGCCTAGATGGAGTACTCAAAGTGTGGCGGGTCAAATGTACAAGCTCTAATGCACGAGGTACCATGCAAAGTAATTGCGAGTACTTTGATCTTGCATGAAGTTAAAAAGACTTCTGCCAAAAAATGATTATATGATCAAAGTTGTATATCTTGCCTAAAACTGGTCGCAATTTACTTTTTCCATTAAGGTGAAAGTATATTGGAGATGATTATAGCTAGTTATTAACCATGTAAGAAATAAAACTGCTTGATACTTATTAAACCAATATTTATCGACAATTTTTCATAATCTGTTTATTATTGTTACAGTTTTTTTTTACTCACGCAATTTTAAACCTAATCAGTACACTCGATAAGCCAAGGTTGCACAAAACATACGGAAATTAAGAAAGGTAAATAATAATAAATACATATATGCACAAAAGCATTTGATACCTTGATATGAAATGAATCACTCATAATTTACATTGAGAATGAAGATTGAAAACTAGTAAAATTACATCAAAAGATTGGACGACTAATAATGCATTTTTTCAGTAAATTGTACATTAACAATATACATAACATGATGATTCATGATTAATCAATTCAAACATAAACATCTGTTACCAAAAAAATAAAAGAAGAAGAAGAAGATACTATAACAACCCACACGCACTAAATTAATAATTAAAATGACCACAATTAACCAAGGAATAGAGCCCATCAAGCCTTTGATTACCTTGCTCGCGCATCACGCAGGTGGTTGAGATAGTGGCAAAGGAGAAGAAACTTGATGATGGTTCCCGGCCGGTGAGATCACAATCTTAGTCTCCTCCGGCGAGTAACTCTGCGGCGGCTGATATCCCGGCAATGGAGGAGGGCGCATCTCCACCCTTTCGGGGATGTTGGAGCCGCCGTAGTGATTGCTGGGATCACGTCTATATATACACCTATAAATTGCGTAACAAAATATTTTCAGACCCACGAGAATAGCTATGATGACTAACCCGGAGAGCAAATAGGAGATTCCGGTGGTATGGTTGCACCGGAACGTGATCCCTAAGCAAACCATGATCGATCGAGTTGGATCACAATGACGGCATACTGATCGAATCTCATTTCTTTCAGAGAAATTAAATAAATATAAGCCAGCTAAACAAAGAGCAACTCAGCTCTCATTTGGTATTTTATTCTGGGCTTCTGGCAGCGTAAGTGAGTAACCCCTTTGCGACGAATGGTATAGTTTTGAATCTTTTTGATGGAGTCATTGAAGAAAAAGGTCATAAGATAGACATCTCTTTTTGACATAGAGGGCTGGCAGTACACTTTTTATTTTTTATTTTTTATTAGTGCACAATCTTTTACGAAGAAAAGTGAAACATGCATATACTAGGTTAAACTTTTCTATTGGTAACTCATCAAAAATTTGATTCATGGTATTGGTATTTCTTTGTCTTAAAATGATTTTTTCAGTTTGAATTTCCACTTTCATTATTATTTGAATAATAAAGAAAAAGTTCAAGTTGAAAAATCACTTCGAGGTGGAGTGAATATTAAAAAACATGTGTAATTCGTAAACGGCGTATAATGCCCTGATTTCCCAGTCACGGTACCGGAAACTTAATTAGCTGGGTTCTTAATGTCATGGTGATCTTAAGAAAAAGAACA